ACAGACTTAAGGGCAGATCCCAGTTCTTGGTTGGCTCTGACTGATTGTTCGATCGCTGAAAAGTTACTGAGATCGCGGAATGACAGTGCCTCCTTCCAATCTTTCTCGAAGTAGTTAAGCCTAATTTCGCGAATATGCGGATGGTTTTTCGAGTATATTCTTGTAGAGGAATTCAAGTAGATCATTTCTAGAAAAATCTCGAACTCAATATTCAAATTCTATCGAGAGAAAAAAAAGCCGCGAAAAAATCCGCAATAATTATGCATCAACCTAATACATTGTTTATAAGTCCCATCATAAGCTCCAATTTTTTCTACCCGCTTTCGGTTCAGCATAAGCTATAACCTCAAAGCACTAGGTCACTCTATAGAGAGTACCTTCAAGCTGCCAAACCTCATTCACATCCAAGTGGTTGTGCGTGACTACGTGGCCGCCCAGGTTTCGATCCTTCAAGTTGGTTCCGAATCATAAGATTTTGAAATCTTTCTACTCATTGTAACTTTTAGGCTTTGAGTCTTTTTTAGGCCTGCCACCTCCGGTCTTCACCCTTTTATTCTCCCCACTTACACAAAAAACTTAGTACGAGTGATGTGTACTTCATGAGCCATTTTAAATCTGTACGCCGTTTCATGGGTGATGGAAGTGTTGAGTGCATAAGATGGGTGTAATGGGGAGCCGTTAAAAGCGGTTTTACAGCGCAGTAGTACTAGCCTTAACAACCATTTCATTCGTACATGAATCTTCTACTGCTTTAGTAATGTCGGTTGACTATGTGCTCCATGACGGATCATGCACTAGTTATGAACAACTGACGTTGTTTTTGGCTCCGGTGGTGGGCTTAAGTCCGTACGAATGCCTGGAGATTACTTACTCTCTGCATTCCCCCGCCAACCTATTACTACTTTTCACGAACCGAGGTGGCACGGGGAGGGCTGTCAAGCTTCACTACTGCCCTTCGGCTTCACACTTCAGCTGGAAATTGCAGCCTAGAGAATCGAAGAGGTCACCAACGGTAACGGGAGGAATCTTGAACCGATTTCAAAGGTTTTCAGAAGCTTGAGTATTTAGGGGCATAGTCGATGGGGGCTAGATGGGACTAAGCATTCCGAGTAAACCCATAGTACATGACATAAGAATCTCTTGTTTTTCATAAAATTCTGAGCAAATGTCGTTGTCTCAAGCTGTTCGCCAATACGGACGGACCTAATCTTGAACTAACTTCTTTTTAATGGTTTTTTGTATGCTTACCATTTTTCTTTATCATTCCGTAATCAGTAGTGTGATAGCAGCGACCAGGGGCGAGGTCCCAGATTTTTTCGGGAGACTGGGTCGGTCAGGCACTACTACTTATTCCGCTGGATTCTTGTAGGTGATCCCATCCGAAATTGGGAAAAAAAGTGAATTTGTGATTAGCACTGGGGATTCATTACCTCTACCAGTCTACTCTCGAGTTTCTGCTTTATGCTCTCGTCGTGTTTCCGCATTTTCTCCTCTTTCGATAGGATACTTTCCGCATAGTGGTGTTCGCCACTTAAATAACTTGAACAGGTGGTCTTTCTCCGCATGAGAGCTGTCTCCGCAGCCAAATCTCGCCGTTGGTCGTTTTGTCCAGCGTTTCACTCGGATGTTTGTTGTTGGCTATGCCGGTTAGCTATTTGCTTTGCCTGCAGCTTGTCAAAATCTCTAATTTATATGATCACATTGAGGTTTTCGGTTCAGCTTTTTCCTCCTTTCTTTCCTATTCCCGTATATCATTCGCAGCTCGTCTTTTTCTATCTATCAGTCATAGAAAAATCACCTTTTTCTTAGTATGACTGTCATCAGGTGTAGTTATTCATCATGTGCTCACGCATTGATGAGAAGTTCTACCTTTTTTGGTTGAACTACCGCTTTTTCTGTACTCAAAATCGGTCTCTTCAAACCCTTCTCGCCTGACTTAGAATTGCTCTCTGTCTCGTTGATTGGGAATTGCTCTCTGTCTCGTTCTTTGGGGCCCTGTTGAGAGTACATCTTTTCAGTGGGAGATACAATAGGCTGGAATGACTTGGAGTGGAGGAGAAGGGAGGGGGTTGCTTAAGCTAATCGCTTTTGGATCGGAACTCCTTCAATAAAGAGTACTTCATGAGTTGTGAGCCTACAGTAGTTTCCAGAGCACCTTAGGCATTCTTCAATTTCACTAATTTTCAAAATTTTTCTCTGATCAGGTCCTGGTTTTGTACTATGATAGACTACAGCACCCACCTTTGGGAGCAGTTTGTTGACCCTTACTTGAAAGGATCAGGTGGGTTTATGGTCACAGAATGGGTGGGGTCGGTCTCAAGCTTCTCCCAGTGCCACAGAGTTTCTACTCAGAAGTGCAGGCTGAAGGGCAAGCAAGTGCTCGTTCGTTGACGTGGACTCAGAACTATGTGAGAAGAAGAACCTTCCAACCCATAGTTTCCAGTTTTTCCTAATTTCACTTTACACTATGGGATCCAGCATTGTCATGGTGGAAGGGAATTCAGTTGTCTTCATGTTTTAACTGGTGACTGACACAATCGAGCTGCTGGCAGAAGCTGTTCCCTTTGGTTGAAACTCCGAATGATATGAGTTTTTGAGTTCTCAAAGTGCACTCCT